GGCACGGCATGGCGGCCATTGCGGGCGCGGCTCGCCGCTGCAGGTGATGCCCGGCATGGCGGCCACTGCGGGTGCGGCTCGCCCGCCTCAGCTGGTGCACAACATGGATTCCGCCGCTGTGGGCGCGGCTCGCCGGCCGGAGGCAGAGCGCTCGAGATCGAGCTCCTGCCATGGTGGGTGCGCCTTCTCTGGATCTAGGGACCTGATTGCTTTTTAAAAACTTCCAGGGACTCAATCGCTTTTTCAAAAAACTTCCAGGGACCCGATTGCTTTTTCAGGCATCGACATGTGGGCCCTGCATATCAGTTAACGGTCAAACACACGGTCAAACAGACGGAATGTTTAGGTGCGGGCCCGACCTGTCATAAACAGGTTTAATTTTTAAGCAATGGACATTTAGGGTTTTCTGAAACAGCCGACCCCCGAGTTGGTAGTTATCAGTGAAAAATTTGAAACCGATAGTTTTTTGGAACCCTAGCCTGTAAAGTAGTACTCCCTCCATTCCATAATGTAGTGCTTCCTCTATCCACGTGCTTCAACTTTGACCGTAAATTTAACTATCAAGACCGATTGCGGCGGGAGCAAAAATTATATCAGTGAATTCGTATTCGAAAGAAGTTTTCAATTATATAACTTTTTCTCCCACCGCAGTTGGTCTCGTTGGTTAAATTTATGATCAAAGTTAGACATCGAAAAGCGCGGGCGCACTATATTTTAAAATGAAGGGAGTAATTTTATGCTATTTACTCAGCAGGACCCCATCAGCGGTTGCACCTCCTTCTGCCCCGTCAACAGATCAACCGGCAGTTACGCCTCAAGGCAGGTACCGTCTGGCGGCAGCGACAGGTACTGTTATGGCATCGACTGCTGCCAGGCGCGCATCTCCATGTCCACGGAACATGCTTGCATCGTGGATGGTCAACACAATCGGCGAGGACCATGCAACGCAGGGCAAGAATTCGTGGCGTGCGACCATTCTGATCGCGGAGGAAGGATGGTTCGACCAGCGGCAGGTCTCCGACATGCTGGCCCGAGATTTTCAGCACCACCTTAGCGGATTGAGATCTGTGCTGCATGTTCCCGTTATTTTACAATGGGAGGTCGTGCAAGGCTTGCCGGGGCGGCCGGCTAACGCCAAGTCACAGCATCCGACGACGGCGACTTGTCCCGTGGAGGTAGCCAGAGGTCTCTGCAAGAGCACGCACAGCGATTGCAAATGTGGGAGCAGAGGCTATTTGTGCCAGTGCAGCAATGGCTACGTAGGCAATCCTTACAACAAAAAGGGATGCAAAGGTAACATATCTCCATCTTGTACTATCTCATGTAGTATATGCCAGCAGGCGAATTTACCCTTTTTTGTTTCTTCCTCCCAGGTGTCCGGAAGTCCTTAAATACAGGTGAATAGCACTGCAACTTAAACAAATTTTCTCTCCCCTTTTCACCTATATTTTTACATGCAGGTTGGAGAAGATGATTGACTAGCAGCCATATGCATGTCTTTTCAGGTATATACATCATTATGGGAGTTGCTATTGGGGCTGCTGTCATACTTTCGCTCTTCATTGCTATCTTCATTTCAAAGAAAATTAAGCACCGGCGGGCACAAATGTTGAAGCGGCAGTTCTTCTTGAAGAATCGTGGACAGTTGCTACAACAGTTGGTATCTCAAAGAGCCGATATTGCGGAAAGAATGGTTATAACCTTGGAAGAGATTGAGAAGGCCACAAATAATTTTGATAAAACATGTGAGCTTGGTGGCGGAGGGCATGGCATGGTTTACAAAGAGATCTTATCGGACCTCCATGTTGTGGCCATCAAGAAACCAAAGAAAGTGATTCAAAAGGAGATTGATGAGTTCATTAATGAGGTTGCAATCCTATCACAGATCAACCATAGAAATGTAGTAAAACTATATGGTTGCTGCCTTGAAACAGAAGTCCCCTTGTTGGTTTATGAGTTCATATCCAACGGTACATTTTATGAGCATCTTCATGTTGAGGGGCCAAGATCTTTGTCATTGGATGATAGGTTGCGGATGGCAACTGAAACAGCTAAATTTCTAGCATACCTTCACTCGACAGCTTCAATACCTATCATCCACAAAGATATCAAGTTTGTTAACATACTTCTCGCTGACAGCAAAGGTGGCTGATTTTGGTGCTTCAAGATACATTCCCGTGGATAGGTCAGGAGTAACAACAATGGTGCAAGGTACAATTGGATATTTGGACCCCATGTACTTTTATACACAAAGGCTCACAGAGAAGAGTGATGTTTATAGTTTTGGTGTCATTCTTATAGAGCTGTTGACTAGAAAAAAGCCATTTGCATACATTTTATTGGATGGTGAAGGCCTCGTTGCACATTTTTCTGCTTTACTTACTGAAAGCAATTTGTCACAAATACTAGACCAACAAGTTATTGATGAAGGAGGCAAAGAAGTGGAAGAAGTCGTTGCGCTTGCTAAGGCGTTAAGAGGAAAGGATCGTCCGACCATGAGACAAGTAGAGTTGACATTGGAAGGCCTTCCAGTATCCAAGAAGAACATGTTAGAGGCCAAGGAATTTGAAAGGAATGATATAATGATAAACCACCCATGGGTTGGAGATGAAAGAAGTAGTGAAGAATCGACAAGACAATATAGCATGGAAGAAGAGTACATGTTATCCTCAAGGTATCCTCGATAGCTCTGTATACACACGAGTACAACACAGACTCAATTTCTATCTGTATTCATTTAACCTAGCTTTGTGCCCTTGGTTCATTTGCTCAAATGGTTAAAAGCTATGTAGCCTGTATTACATTCTCGCTCTGTATAAACTTTTTGTTAGTCAGTCTAGTTGACTGTGAACTTGTTTTCAATGGTTAATTGAAACTCGTTGTCAATGGTTACACTGCTTTCGATCTTTTTTTTATTTGTGGAAGAATCATTATTTGTATTCTTGCTCTTTTGTAAACTCAAAGTCAGTCTTGGTTATAAACCTTCTTTGGACCTGCTACTCTGCTTTCAGTAATAGCTGAGCGTGACCTCTTTGGACTGATCTACTACTCTAGAGCAGCATCTAGAGCCAAATTGATGTGCTTACATAGTTCTTCTTTCCCCGTTTGCCTCCCCTCCATTCCTCCCGTTCGTCTCCCCCTTCGGATCCCCACTGCCCTCCCGATCTTCACCTCACGCCCGCCTCCCCTCCCGTCGCCGCCGGATCCTTGCTGGGCAAAGCCTGTGTGGGGGATGATGGCGGCGGTGGGGGCGTCCCTTCGTCCCGGCTTGAAGGCGTGTTTGTGACGGTGGATCTTGAGCGGGTGCCTCGGGATGACGTGTGTGTGGCCATGGCGCCGGTCACGCAGCGATGTGACCTTCTCTACCTTTGGCTATCTTCATCGTCGGTCCAAAGGGATCTGGTCGATGGGCGTTGCCTCGCGGTGGCTTTCCGGCGATGGATCAACTAGAGGAGGAGATAGTGGCCTAGCTACTAAAGTGGGTGAGGATGCCACCATCGTCGGCAGTGCCTGTGGGTGTCGTTTTCCTCGTTGGAGGCGATGGTGGGGCGTCCCTCGCTCCATTGTTTTCGGGGGAAACCTCAGATCTGGAGGAGGCTACCATTGACGGCGGGTTTCCACTACGATGCGTCGTCCACCGGCCTGCTCGCCTTCACTGTGGTCCTCCTCGCCCGGCGCCGGCGTCAGCGCGTGCGCGTGGAGACTTTCAGGTCCGCGACCGGCAGGTGGGAGACAAGGGAGCAAGCCGCGAGCGGCGCCGCTCGCTGCCTCGGCACGACATCCCATGGCATCCATGCCGGCAACTGCTTCTACTGGCTCAGCCGGCGCCGGGGCCGCATCCTCCGCTACGATGCAGCCCGTGAATGCACCCCCGTGGGCGGACCGGTCGAAACGGAGAGTGGGATGGTCATTGGGATCCGTCGACGGCAGGCTCCGGATGTGGGTGGTAGATGCTTTGTGATTTGTGAATGCCACGTATTATTCATCAGGATGGGTCTCGCGTGAGACCTGGTTTCATAGAATTCTTTTCCCAACGGAGGCAAAGCGTCTCGCGGGAAGAAAATCTTATACGACCCGGGTCTCACGCTTCAGATCGGTAGACCCACTCTGATCTTTGACATCTGGCGTTATGAATCTTGAAGCAGCTAACTCCCTCGTCTCTTCCAGTGCCAAGTCCCGATTCGTACCGGGCAATTTGCTGCTACTCGGCGCTCGTGCGGAGATGCCTTTTGCCGTCAGCGTCCGACACCGTTTCTCGCTGCCCGGGCTCGAGGCACAGCCGGCGCACCGACCCGGCTGCTCACCTCCATTAGCAGCGGCCAGGAGGATTGCAGTCCTAGTTCTGCAAACAATTGCAACGCCTCCAATGTCAGCCATCAGCATGACCTCTTCCTTCTTGGCTATCAAATAAAAAACAAATCACATTAGGGAAGAGAGTTAGCTGCGAGTTTTTAGATCACAAGTTAGATCTTGGATTTGCACAATGAAAAAAATAGCGCGCTATATCGCTGCTAATAGCACGCTATAGCATATAGTGAATTGTCTCGCTAAATAAGTCAATGTACAATGCCTCGCTAATAATATATTTTCAGGGGCCACGCTATTTTCTGTAGCGCGCTATTTTTTTCATTGGATTTGCATACTCGCTTCTGACTTTGGAATTCATGATTTTACCACCGGCATCTTCCAACTGACATCATGACATTATTCGAAACCAGTGCTTGTGCCTGAGTGTGGCCGTGGCATACGGGAGCGGGCATCTGGCCGCGGTGGAGCGGCGGCGATTCGGCGATGAGGAGCAGGGTCGTCGCGGGTAGGGACGAGCAGCAAGGTCGCGGCCTTGGAACTGAAGATTGGGGAAATTTTAGTGGGCTAGTTGCTTTGAGTTTCGTAACGCCGGATGTCAAAGATCAGAATGGGTCTACCGATTTGAAGCATGAGACCTGGATCGTATAAGATTTTCTTCCGGGTATCGCGGCATGAAGAGAGTCATCAGCGTGTGGTTGATGGACGAGGCAGCAACGAGGCCGCCGGTGTGGCGGCGTGTGCACGAGGCGGTTCTGGGCGAGATGTGGGAGTACTATTTAAATAGGAAAAAGTCTAAAACAAACCTTAAACTTGTAAACCAAAGTTAAATCGAAGCCTAAACTTCAAATCCCTGAAATCAACAATTTTAAAATAATCAACAATTTTAAAATCTCGATATCCTTAAAAGAAAAGACAGTTTTTAGGAATTGCGAACATGTTTGCAAAAGTGTAAAGAAATTTTGGAAATACGGTTTTTTAAACACAAAGTTCAAATTGACCATTTTGAAATCCCTGAATATATTTTACACGTGAACCATTTTTAAACGTGATTTTTCAGTAACAATTTTTAAACCTGAACAAAATTTTGAATTGAGAACAATTTTCGAAAAGATGAACATTTTTAAACATAATCATATTTTGAAAAATAGGAACAAATTTTGAATCCTGAACAATATTTTAGAATGTGAACATTTTCTAGAAAACTTAATAATGGGGAAATAATCGTACTTTAATTATTTTTCCAGGTTTCAAAATAGATTGTATTTTCAACAATTTGTCCTTTTTTGCCAAAAAGGGACCACACTTTAAAGAATGTTTGGGGCTTTAAAAAATGGTTTATGTTTAAAATGTCATGTTTCTCAAAAACTGTTTGTAAAACAAAAAAAATGTTCAAATTTTTAAAAAACGTTTGGAATTTTAAAAATTGGCTGTTTCTTCGAGAATATTCGGATTTCCAAATTGTTGACAATTTTCAAGGAAAATATTTCAAACAATTGTAGAAAATGTTTTCAAATCTCGACGTTGTGTTGGTTTAAATATTTTCGCGCTTTCCTTATCTCTGCAACGGCAATCAGTTAGATTGGCTAGCAGGACGTCTGTACTAGTGTTAGGTTGGAGGTTCGATTCACAAGGCTCTCTTTTTTTCAACATTTTGATGTGGCGCGGTTTTGGAAAAAATATTGCAAAATAAAAAACACGCTTCGCCCTGTCTGATGGGCCGGCCCAGTCTGGCCGCAGCAACGTCGACGATCCCTGTTTGAGAACGCACTTAAGGTTTAAAATAGACCGAGATTAGATAGTTCGGTATGCTAATTTCAAGAATTTAAAGTTCAGGGTTTAATTTAGCTTTGGTCTACAAGTTCAAGGTTTGTTTTAAACCTTTTTCATTTAAATATGCCGTGGTACCACGAGAAGCCAGTGGACTTCGCCGGTGCGTGCGGCGGGTCTGTGGTGGTGGAGGAGAACCACGGCCTGCGACGGCATGACCTTGAGACTGCCGGCAACGTGCGTCTCGCCACCCTACAAACTGGCAGTTGCCGGCTCCGCGCGCTATACCGCCGGTTCCATGTGTTCCCCTTTTTCAAGTGAGAAGAAGATAACACTTGGCGTAATCACATCGCAACCTGCATCAGTGGCTAGTCGTAATTGCTTCTTCTACTATCTACTACTCTTATAAAAGAAAGAGAGGGGCAGATTCAAACAATCACACCCATCCATTAATAAAATCTAATGATTCTTAATCATTCTGTGTTTAATACTACCAACCACGCCCTTATTGGATCGCTAACCCGCCCCTAATCAATCGCTAACCCGCCCCACCGTTAAAAAAGAAGAAGAAAACCGTGCGCACGATCTCTCCCTCGTCCGCAGGACCTCTCGCCCGCTCCTTCTCCCGTGCCGTTCGCCGCCTGCGGTTTGCCGCCCATCACGCCCTTCGCCCGTCAAGAAGATCATCGAGAGCCGGAGCCGCCGCCCGTCACGCGCTGCGGGAGCCGCCGCCCGTCACGCGCTGCGGGAGCCGCCGCAGGTTGCCGCCTGTCGCGCCCTTCGCCGCGGGAGAGCCGGAGCCGCCGCCCGTCGCGCGCCGGGGGAGCCACCGCAGGTCGCCACCCTTTGCCGCGGGAGAGCCACCGCAGGTCGCCACCCTTCGCCGCGGGAGAGCCGGGGCCGCCGCGATCGTGAGCAGCCGCCCGCCCATCCTCCATCCCCACGCGGGCGCACCTTCCTTCAGCTCCTCCTCGCGCCGCCCCTCTCCTTTGCCCCAGCCGCCAAGACCCCGCGGTCGCTTCACCGGGTTGCGGCGCCGCCCCGCCCGATAGCCTCCCAGCGGCCGCCTGCCGCCAT